TATATGTGAAGCGAAGAGAGCAAGGAGTTGAGAATAATGCTCTGAGCGTGGTGAGTCTGGGAGATTGAAAGAAGGAATGGTGGTGCCTTTGACAGAAAAAGGGAAGATTGGTAGAAGGGTGGAATTTTTTGGGAAAAAGAGAATGAATTCTATTTTGGACAATTGAGTTTAAGATATCTGTAGGACATTAGGTCTGAAATGCCTAATGAACATTTGATGAAGCAAGACTGAAGCTCAGAGAGACTGGGGCTGGCGATATGGGAGAGATCATTCAAGGCATGGGGTACAATCTGTCATGGAAGCAGGCTATGTAATCTCAAGTGTGGGGAAAAGTTAAGAAGACCAGTTAGGTGAGAGTGTGTGAGGAGGAGTAATTTATAATCTGCCTGGAAATAGTGTCAGATTGTGAAGGAACTTTAATGCCAGAGGTGTTTATATTTTATCCCAGGGCAATAGGATAGGCTTTTTGAGTATGTTCAGACCTGTGCTTTAGGGACATCATTTTTTCAGTCAGTCAACAATTAAGCACTTACTATGTGTCAGGAACTGTGCTAAGCACTGGGGATATAAAGGAAGGCAAAAGACAGTCATTCCTCTGTGTTCAAGAAACTCAATCTTCCTGACTTCTGAGTCAGGAGTTCTGAGTTCTGAGACAACTCCGTTGTTTCAGGAAGAGACAACAAGCAAACAAGCTATATATAGGATAAACAGAAATAATCAACAGAGGGAAAGCACTACAATTAAGAGGGATTGGGAAAGGCTTCCTGTAGAAGGTGAGATTAAGAGTAGATCTGCTTCAGGTAAAATAGCTTAGAAGACCCTAACCTCTATTTGGATGTAATAGTGAAAGTACTACATTTCCCAGGATAACTGGGTCTAGAGAATAAGGGTGGATTAGAGATATGGCTTTTTTTTCTGCAAAGCAATAGGGTGAAGTGACTTGCCCAGAGTCACACAGCTAGTAAGTGTCAAGTGTTTGAGGCCAGATTTAAACTCAGATCTTCCTGAATCCAGGGCTGGTGCTCTATCCACTGTGCCATCTAGCTGCCCTAGGACATCATTTTGATTGAGAAGATAGGCTTTTGGGAGAAGAGGGGCATCCAGGAACACAACAGCCGTGGAGTGCCCTTGCTTGAAGTCCCACAAAGCAAGGAGTCATACTAGTTACAGAGAGATAACTAAGATCAGCTGCCATCTAAGCAGAAATGTGGATTCTATATTCAATTCATTTTGCAACTTCTCATTTCAGCTACAGAGAGACTTCATGTAAAACGTCCCTCCTGGAATTAGGATCATTTAAAGGAGTTGAAATTCCACGCTACTTTTGGGGAGAGAGTATTAGATTGATTTATTGAGAATGTCAGTGGTGATTGCTTTCCACTGCTTTATTGCATATTTCTAACCTGAATGAATATTTTGTTTTTCCAATGCTGTACTGAATTTACTTCATTCAGTAAGTGGCCCAGGAGCTCAGGGGGGATGGGGGACTGGGAGAGATTCAAGATTGGTGGTCAGGGAAGGCTTCTCAGAGGAGGAAAAAAGGTCTGCTCCTATTGTGGGCCACTTTTTATTTGAATCTGAGTTAACATCAGAAGTTTCCAGAATTATCTGAAGCAGGGTGGAAATCAGCCAGAGAGGTTGATTTCAGAACGAGAAGACCCAAGTTGGGAATCTGGGTCCATGGGAGTCCAGAACTGTTTTGAAACATGGGTAGTATGGTACAGGAGAAAGAGTAATGAAACAGGAGGCAGAGGATCTGGGTTCAAATCCTCCTACTCTGTCATTAGTAAATGATTAGTAATTAGTAAAATCACTATCTGTGATTTTGGGCAAGTCATTGACCTTTTTCAGCCTCAGTTTCCTCATCTGAGAGAAGAATTTTAGAAACTCCCCCATTTGGACGAGATGACTAAAATCCTTTCCAGCTCTAAATCTGTGATCTGAGATGAATAAAAGAGACAATTTACAGGACCAGGAGGAAAAGAACTTTTACAATCCTTTAGTCTAATTCTCTCACTTTACAGATGAGGAAACTGAGGTCCAGGGAAGATATTTGATTCTTCCAAAGTCACCCAACGATAGATTAGCCAGGATGTAAATCCAGGTCCCCTAACACTAAATCTAGTGCTGTTTCCATCATCCTGTCAATCCATACTCTTTTTATCCATAGTTAAGTGGCACAGTGGATAGAACCACTGGCCTGGAGTCAGGAAGACCAAACTTCAAATTAGGCTTCAGGCACTTCCTAACTGTGTGATCCTCTGAGAAAGTCACTTAACCGTTCACTGCCTCAGTTTCCTCAACTGTAAATGGGGACAATAACAGCACCTACTTCACAGGGTTGTTGTGTGTCTCAAATGAAATTATTTATAAAATGTGTAAAGGCACAATGCCTGGCACATAGTAAAATGTACATAGTGTATACTTAGTACATAGGGTGTACTTAATAAATGCCTTCCCCTTTTCCTTCTTGGATTTATAAATACAATCTGGACCAGTTTAGGCTTTACCCTAACATAGAAGCTCTTAACCTTTGTGTCATGGACCCCTTTCGCAGTCTGGTGAAACTTATGGATGCCTCCTTTTCAGAATAATATTCTTAAGTGCATGAAATGAAACACATAGACTTACAAAGGAAAGAAATGAAATTTATTTAGTTATTAAATAAAAAAAGGCCCCAGGTTAAGAACCCCTGCTCTAAAACCCTGAATTATTCAATAGTATTAGGAATATATTAGGAAATTATACAGATGGGTTGGAATCCAGCAATTTCAACTTCATGATGAAATTATTACAATGTGCAACTTGTGATGTTTATAAACAGTCTTTTCTCTGCATAGATTAAACTGTATTCGTGATGCATTTTCTCTGTGGTCTGGTATTGACTTCTGAATATATAACTTATTTTACACAATTCTCCAAAACATACTGCAGGGAATGAAAAAGAGGCTGTCACAAATCCACAGGAAGTAGCCAAAAACTATTCTGTATACCTCAAGCTTCCTTCTGCAAAAAAACACGTGATGGCTTCTCATCGCTTATATGATAAAGAGTAGTTAATCTTACCTGACTTCCAGAACCTTCCGCAATCTCTCTGCAATCTACACCTTCAGTTTTAACAATTCCCCTTTCCTCTGGCTTAACAGGTCTCTTCTTTGCCCTTTACACGAGATGCACATTCCTGCTTTTGGCTCTTTTTTCCACATCTCTTCTTCCTGAAAGGTGACATTCTGCCTCCCTCTCCTCTTCTTCCTCCTACCTGGCACAATGCCTTAAGGTCTGCAAAGCACTTTACATAAATACATTATTTCACGGGACAATTCTGTGAGGTAAATACTGTGGGTATCATAGTCCACAGTCCTCATAGACATGAGGAAACTGACACTCGTTTAGCTTGATTTACTTAGCCCTGAGTTACAGCTACTTACAGCCAAGGTGGAATTCAAACCCAGGTCTTACTTTAAAATCAGGGGTCAAGCCCAATCAGCTGCTCAAAGTCTTCCTGGCCAACACAAATCTTGGGTAGGTCTCTCCTCAACTCTTAAAGGCCACAATTGTCTAAACCTCTAAACCTTGGGTTTGCTCTTTGCCATATGCTACCTTATGTGGGTTAGTCTCCTCAATCAGACTGTAAGCCCTTTGAGGGCAAGCAAGGACTTTGTTTCACCCGGGGGACCCCACCCCAATCTTTTCTTGGAGGGCTCTAGGCACGTCAAGCACCTCGTTGTATGGTATTAGTGATGGTGACAAGCCTACATTTTGATGGTCAAATTCAATTCCTTTTTCTGTCCCTCAGTTTCTTCTTGCCCCAAAAGGGAGGTTGCATTATGTTTCTAGGTTAAAGTCAACCCCAAACCCTACAGTCCCCATAGGTAATTAAGGGGCAGTAATTAAGTGAGGGGAGACTCCAGGTGGGTGGTTGGGGAAGGCTTCTCAGAGGAGGCCAAGAGGCTCCTCAATGGCCACAAAGGGGCCATAAGGGGCAGGTAAGACGGTCACTGGACACCCAAGTCAAGCCATACTCCACGTGTCCCCCACCCCCGCCCCCCACAACGTCATAGGAAGAAAGGAAAGGTGAGGAAAGTGAGGCTGTGGGAACATCCCTAGGCCACGTGTAGTTTGGTGTGACGTCACCACACTGACAAGAAAAACTGGCACTGTCCAACTCCAGAATCTGTCATGACGACAGGTGACGTAGTGACGTCCCCATAGTGTCATGGCGCGGCGTACAGTCGTAAAGGTCGTTTGTATGAGAAACTGGCGTGGACAGGGTATTTCCTATCCGGGTCTCTCTAAGAGTCAAGGAGGAGCTGCCCCTCCCTCTCCAAGCCTCCATCAAATGGAAACTGAAAACTCTTTCGTATTTGCATATATGAAGACAGGCCAATGGGCTTTAGGAGAACGGAGGGACGTCGGAGAGTAATCTACTCCAATGGGGAAAGAGGGAATCAGGCTGGGCAGTTGGTAAGCGACTGGAGCTTCCGCCAATGAACTTTAAGAAGCTCAGGTAAGAGGGGTGGGCAGGTTTCCTTCAGGATAACGACCAATGGCGAGCGGAGTCCTCTGAGTGACGAGGCCCCCGGCCCAATGAGGATTGGAGGAGAGCGGGGACCTCGTCCAGAGCGACGTCAGCTGAAGCCAGTAGCATCTGGTTATGGGCGGGGCTAGAATGCGAACGACGGGTGTGACATCCAATGGCGAGTGCAGGAGCAGGCGGCTCCGGCCAGGAGCGCCGAAGGGGCTGAGGGAGGGGGAAAAGCTCTACAGTGGAGAAGCAGGAAGTAGCCGAGGTGAGAAACGGAGGCAGCGGGAAAGGCGGTGGCAGCAGCGGCTGCAGAAGCTGGGCAAAGACCGCATAGTGTCAGCCTGGCCCGGGACCAGAACAAGTAAGCCCGCCCCGGGTAAATACCCGCCCCCGGCCCCGCCCCCTCCTGGGGGCGGGTAAATACCCACCCCTCCCCCACTTGGGTAAATCCCCCCTCTCTCAGGGGGAGGCGTCGGGGGGATTGGGGGTGGAAATCTGTACCGTAAGGATGCTGCTCCGCCGCCGCCGCCGCCCACCTGGGTCCGGCTTGGGGTGGGTGAACCCCCGGCAGAACCGTGCTCCCAGCAAGCCAGGTAAATACCCGGGGGACTGGAGCCACCTCGGTGCCGGCCCCCTCCCCCTAGCCTCCAGCCCGGGGCGGGACCGGTCCGGGGAGGCCTCGAGGGAGCACGACCCAACATGGTGCCTGCGCCCCGGGGAAAAGGAGTCGCGGACCAGCAGCCCTCCCTCCTTCCCCTCCCGACCCCAGAAGCCCGCCCGCCCGCCCCTTAAGACACGCCGGGGCCGGGTTCAAAGGCTTGAGGCCTGCGGGTCAGCCCTTTCTCTTCCCCTCCCTTCCCCCCCTTCCCCCCCTCTGCTCGCGCCTCCCAGGGAATCTGATGTCCTGGGGCCCCGCCCCACCCCACCCCACCCCTGGGGGCCCCCGGAGAGTCTGGAGCCCGGGAGCCGGCACAGGGTCCGAGCTGGCCCCAGGAGACCGGGACTGTGGTCAATTACAGGCGACCCAGAGGACTGGCGTTTAAACTCCTGCAAAGGAGAGGAGGGGGGTGGGACACCCCCGGGGCGCGAGCCGCTGCTGCTGCTGCAGCTTAGCTCTCGGAGACCCTAATTAGCAGCTTGTACGGAGGACCTCGAGTGCCCCCCCCCCCGCCCCCGTCTTGCAGCCTCAGTTTCCCCCTTCGCTTTTCCACGTCCTTGGACCCGTTCCCTGCCTTGCCTCGCTGCACTCTTCTAACCCTGTGCCTCAGCAGATGGCAGAGACTTAATTCCGCCTGCTGCCCAGCTAGTCTGCAGCCTAATCGCCTAGTGTGCGCTGGCCACCTCCCCTCCCTCCCCTGCCCCACCTCACCCTCAGTACCAGGCAGTGGGAGCCCGTGGAAAGTGGAGCACTCCTTCCCCTTCCATTCCTACCCCTCCCCTCCCCCCACATGCTCAGAGTGGGCCGAGAGCTAGGGCCTGAGCTGTGAACCTCTTCCTGTTCAGCCTTCTCCTTTGGCTTTTGGGCAAGAACAGAAGGAAGAACTGAGGGGGGTGGGCAGCAAAAAAACCTGGAGACTTGGAGACAGGAAAGCGCTTCCACCCTTGAGTTCCAGGCTTCTTTTGCTTTTTGATGTGCATTGCTATCAGATGACCTCAGAAACCTAGCCTGAGCGACAAACTAGTTGTAGAGAGGGGTGTGTGAATGAGGTGGGGGTGGGGAGCTGGTCTTTACTGTACCCTCAATAGTCAGACACTCTTTTCCACCGGCCACCTCACCATCAGTCACTTATCCCAGCCCAAAGGAGGAATCTGGGGGCCCTCAGGAGAAACAGCCAGGCAGCTCTTCTGAGAGCGTCCACCAAAGACAAAAGCAAGGGGCCACTTGGAGCTTAGCCGAATTTTGCTGAAGAATGGGAGAGGATTCCCCATTTTGCCTGGAGCTGGATAGGGTTCCCCCCTCCCCCCTCTATTTGCTCCCAAAGGTCCCTAGTACTTGCTCCACCTGCAGAGATTGTCTCCAGTTACCATCCTGGGGCTGGGGACAGGTGAGGGAACTGGCCCCTGGAGATCCAAAGGCATCTTGAGAGAAGAGAAAGAGGAGGGGATTTGTGGAGGTAGAGACTCCCTCACTCAGACTTGGTTTTGGAGACACTGCCCAAACTTCAGTTTTTTCCCTCTTTTTTCTTTGTATGGGGGTAGGATGGGGTAAGGTTCTGAAGGCTACTAATGTGGTAAAACATAGGGCAGAGTCAGGGACCGTGACTGGGTTTCATTGGAATTGGTTACCACCAGGATGGTGAGTGGAAGTGTGCCTGTTTGTGAGAAGCTTTTTACCTTGGCAGCCTAAGGCGGGGTCCTGCCCCTCCTCTGGCTCCCTCTTACATCCTGGGGTAGTTTCTAAGGGGAGGTGTCACCATTAAGTTCTCCTTTGCATCTTGATCCCTTGGCCTGGGAAGAAAGAAGAGAGAAATATGAACAAGAAAGGAGGGGCTGGCTGAGGGAAGTCTGCCACTCTAGGGAAGACTGGGGAACTGAGCAGCAGGTGTTTGTGACTGAGGAGAGGCCCAGAGCTGGGCCTTTTGTGACCAGATCTGCTGTCATTGTCTCTGGGTCTCTCTCCTAATCTCTCTGTATCTCTGTCTTCCCGAGTCCATTTTTCACATTGATCACTTTATATTCCCTTCTAATTGATAAGAATCACCCCAGTTGGCCCAGATTTGAATTTATGGGGTAACTATGGATGGTCTCAAATGGTCCCAACCTCCGATTTCCATTGCCCGCTCATCCTAATCCTTAGCAGATCTAAGATGTCCTTATTTGATCTGAATTTGATAAGATATCGTATTCTTTGTGTAGCACTTTCCAATTTTTATTTGATTTTATTCTTAAAACAGCACTGTAGGGAGTTGGAATCATTTCTCTACCTTTTATAGGCCATGAAGCTGAGGCCAAGTGAAACTTGTGATGAGGTTGAACCTTTCTTGTGTCCTAGCCTGTTGCTTTGGCCGCTTGGCCCAATTGCTTTCCTCATCTCTGTAGGCTTGCTTTGACCCACAGATGACCTTAATCGATTCTGTGGCCAACCTTGAGCCTAGATCAGCATCTGCATCATCAGTTATTGATTAATTGTTTTTCTTTGCTGGTACTGAGCTGAGTGATGGAGTTACTTCAAGGACAGGGCCCATGTCTGTATCTAAAGCCTCAGCTGATTTCAGCGCTCTGTAAACTGTCTGAATTCCTCAAGATCCTTCCTACTATGGACATTCGTGCCTACATGCATCTCCATCTCTTTCTCTGGCTTCCTTCTTCTGCTGTCCCTTCATATCCCTTCCTCCCTTCTCCACTATCCCTTACTCACAGCTCTTTTGGACTTTCCCCTGCTTGGATCCTTAAGGTGCTGGTGGGGGTCATCAGTGTCTCATCTTCAAGTAGTTACTAAGTCCTGTTAACTCAGCCTCCCTAATAGTTGGGATCCCTGCTCCCACCACTGATGTCCAGCTAGTATAGGCTCTCATTGCCAATTACCTGGTCTCCTGCAGTAACCTCCTCATTATCTTCCTGACTACATTTCCATTCTTCATTCTGCCGGCAGAAACATTTGTCTTAGAGATGGCTATTCTACTCTTGATAAAACTCTTCCATGGTTTCCTTTTGCTTGTCATCATATTTAAACTGCCCTGCATTCAAAGCCGTCCACAGTCTGGCCTTATTCTCCTTTTCCAACCTTATATCCTGTCTTTCCCTTCTCTGTTCTGTGCTTCAGCTAAATCCACGTCAGCTCCATGCTTTCCCTCCCTTCCTCTCCCGGAAATGCCTGACCTCCCTCTGTCTCCTGATGGATCCATATACGTATTTTAGAGCCTGAGCCTTCCCTGCTCTCCCCTTAGGATATTGTTTTATAATTTTCTTATAAGCTTATAGATGTAGACCTAGAAGAGACCTCCGAGGTCATCTGGTCCAATCCCATCATTGGGGATGGGGATGATGAGGAATCTGAGGCTCCTGGAGGTTAATGACTTCCCTAAGTAACCAGGAAGTAAGCATCAGGAAAGATTTGAACCCACTGCTCTGACTCCAGAGACAGTTTTCTGTACCACCGTCCCACAGTTGCCTCCCTTTTTCATGTAGTATTGTGTATTATAGCTGTGTGAGTTGTTGTCTTGTCTGCCCTACTAGACTGTAAGCTCCTTGAGAGCAGAACTGGTGTCTGATCTAAACCTTGTATTGTCCTCGGTGCCGACCACAGAACTCTGCACACAATAGGTCCTTAATAAATGACTGTTGTATTGCATTGTCCAGTCTGAGGGTTCTTCACAAGGCTAAAGAGTGGGGAAAGGATGGAAACTGAAAGGAAGATGTCCCCCCTCCCTGAAGACTCAATTCCTCCCTCTTATTCCCTTTTTCCCCAGGTGTAGGTCCCACCCCCACTATGGGGGACATGAAGACCCCAGACTTTGATGACCTCCTTGCTGCCTTTGACATTCCTGATATTGATGCTAACGAGGCCATACATTCAGGGCCTGAGGAAAGTGAGGGGCCTGGGGCCCAAGGGAAGGCAGACCCCAGTGGTGGGGGATCTTCTGGGGAAGGACCTGGGGCTGCTGGAGATGGGCCAACAGTTCCAGGCCAGCCTTCTGACCATAGCCTTCCCCATCCAGACATCTCTGCTGTCAGCGTTATTGTCAAAAACACTGTATGCCCTGAACAGCCTGATTCTGTGGGGGGTGGTCCGGGTGGGGATGGAGCCCGAACGGGGCCCGGGCCCAAGGAAGGGCCTGTGGGGCCCCGACAACTACAAAATGGTTTTGGGGGCCCTGAGCCACCCCCCTCAGGAGCTGCCCTCTCCTCCGTTCCTCCCGGAGGAGAGAGTTGGAAAGACAAAGCAGGGGAAGGAAAGCCTTCCTTGGACCTCTTTGCACATTTTGGGCCTGAGCCCCGGGACCCAGGCCCCTTGCCTCCTTCTGCCCCATCATCCCGAGAGGGGGCCTTGACCTCAGCCTCTTTCTCTACCCCTTTTGAATTGAGCCAGGAAAATGGTCCTTCTCTGCTGCCACCTGATTCTTCCCGACCCTCAGGAACCACAGAGCCAGGCAGTGACAGCCCCCTTCCTCCTCCTGGCTCAGGCAGGTCTGGTGTGGCCTCCAGCCCCAAAGAGGTGGGCACCCTTCCTAGCAGTTCCCCCACCCGGGTGGGGGGGGGCCCCTTTTTTTAAGTCATTGCCAGCCTCAGGAAGCCCTGCCAGCTCCCCAGAGCCACTGGGCACCAGTGCACCAAGAGACGAAGATGAAGAAGGAGAGGGGACTGCTGACAAGTCTGCCCCTGATACCCCTCAGAGCCCTTCCAGTGGGGCGGAGGCGGCTGACGAGGACAGCAACGATTCCCCTGCCTCTGCCAGCTCCTCCCGACCTCTCAAAGTTCGTATCAAAACTATTAAAACGTCCTGTGGGAGTATCACGAGAACAGTGACACGTGTCCCCTCAGACCCTGACCCCTCTCCTGCTGCCGTCCCCTCGGCTGAAGGAGCCCTCCCGCCTGAGGCTGGCCTCCCCAAGGTCCCTGAGAGCCCCAAAGTGGTGAGTGTCCAGCTAGGGGATGGCACGAAGCTCAAGGGCACAGTGCTTCCGGTAGCTACCATCCAGAACGCCAGCACAGCTATGCTGATGGCAGCCAACGTGGCCCGCAAGGCCGTGGTCCTGCCTGCTTCGGCCACCCCCAAGACTGTGGCCAAAAATATCCTTGGCTTGTCGCCCCAGACCCTGCCCAAATCTGAGGGGAGGGTGACACCAGGGAGCGGGGGCCAGAAGGTCAACGGTGCCTCCGTGGTGATGGTGCAGCCCTCGAGGCCCACGGGGGCTGGGGGCACAGTGATCTCTCGGACCCAGTCTGGGCTGGTGGAGGCTTTCAACAAGGTCCTCAACAGCAAGAACTTGCTGCCAGCGTATCGACCCAATCTGTGCCCGCCGGCAGAGGCTGGGCTGGCTCTGCCTCCTTCTGGGTACCGCTGCCTAGAATGTGGGGACGCCTTCTCCTTGGAGAAGAGCCTGGCGAGACACTACGATCGCCGCAGCATGCGGATTGAGGTCACGTGCAACCACTGTGCCCGCCGCCTTGTCTTCTTCAACAAGTGCAGCCTGCTCCTGCATGCTCGCGAGCACAAGGACAGGGGGCTGGTCATGCAGTGCTCCCATCTCGTCATGCGGCCCGTGGCTCTGGACCAGATGGTTGGACAGCCAGACATCACACCTCTGGTGCCTGTGGCCGCGCCCCCCGTGGCTCCTCCACCCCCACTTACTCCAGGCAAAGGGGAGGGGGCTGCCGAGTCCCTGGCGTCACCCCCGTCGGCCGAGCTGCCGCCAGCCTCTGCTCCTGCCTTCACTTACACCTGCTTTCGCTGCCTCGAGTGTAAGGAGCAGTGTCGAGACAAGGCCGGGATGGCCACTCACTTCCAGCAGGCCGGACCCCCTGCTCCCGGGGTTGCCAGCAACGTGAGTCAATCTTCTCCCAGGGAGAGGGACCACGGACAGGAAATGGGGTGAGGGGACTGGTTGGTTGTGACTTGGCAGGGCTGGGAAAACGCTATGGGGAGGGAGATTTTGAAGGACCAAGGCAGGATGCTATATGGGTGGTCCAACCAAGCCTGGTAGGGAGAAACTTCCAGTGGCAAGAAGGGAAGTACCTGTCTTCTTTTCACTCTAGAACTGTAGCTTGGGATATGGGTAGGGTTTAGCATGAGTGTCCTTCCTGATCTCTAGTCTGGGTAGTGTTGCAGTCAGTGCTAACCTTGTAGCCTGGGGAAATCTCTGGTGCCCTCAGGATCACCTTCACCCGCCCTTTCCAGGTGTGCTCAACTTGTCCCATGATGCTTCCCAATCGCTGCAGTCTGAATGCCCACCAGCGCGTGCACAAGAGCCGCCCTCCCCACGTCTGCCCTGAGTGTGGGGGAAACTTCTTACTGGCCAACTTCCAAGCCCACCTTCGGGAAACCTGTCTACACTTCTCCCGTCGTGTTGGATACAGGTGCTCACCATCTCTCTGATTTCTGGCTATCCCTGCCTTGCCCTCTGAAGTCCTCTGGGAAAGCTCACTGGCGCTCCTGTCGGCTGTAGCGGCACCCCCTTCCCTGCCCCTCAGTTTCCCGTGGAGAGGTGGAGAGGGTCCTTCTGGAGGCTTTCCTGGCCCAGTTCTCGTCCCAGATCTGTGCCCTCTGCCCACTTAGAATTCCTTCTCCAGCCTTTGGCCAATCCTGCCACTTCTTTTCTCCTTCTCCTTGTGTTCTTACCCTGCTGTCTCTCTCTTAGTACTCTCCTAGGGGACCAGATTTCTTTTCCCTCAGAATCCAGATCACATAGAAAATGGTACTGTGGGCCAGAGATGTTGGAGGGTTTGGGATGTACCCTGCCCCCCACTGCTCACCATGGCCCTTTCCCCCAGGTGCCCAAGCTGTTCAGTGGTGTTTGGTGGGGTGAACTCCATCAAGTCCCATATCCAGACATCACATTGCGAAGTTTTCCATAAGTGCCCCATCTGTCCCATGGCTTTCAAGTCTGCACCCAGCGCTCACGCACACCTCTACACCCAGCACCCTGGCTTCAGCGCCCAGGAAGCTAAGTGAGACCCCAGGGAGCTGGAAGTTTGGAGGGTGGGGGGAAGAGAGAGGCCCATCCTGACCGCTCGCTGCCCCTCCCTGCTCCATAGGCTGATCTACAAGTGCGCCATGTGTGACACGGTCTTCACCCACAAGCCTCTCCTCTCCTCACACTTTGAACAGCATCTGCTGCCCCAGCGTGTCAGTGTCTTCAAGTGCCCGTCCTGCCCCTTACTTTTTGCTCAGAAGAGGACCATGTTGGAACATCTCAAGGTGGCTGTGGGTACTCTAGTTGAACCCCTTGAGAAGGGTTGGGGGGGTGGGGCTGGCATTGTGGGGGGGCGGGAGACTCCATGCTGAAATATTTCTGGGGATGGAACATTTAGGAAATGGGGGTTGTGGGAAAATGAAGGGGGGGGGTAAGCCATAGAGAAGCTCCTTTTCCCTCCCATCCCACTCATGGTGACTACCCTCCCTTCTCTCCCTCCCACAGAACAGTCATCAGGCTGGGCGGCTGGGAGAGGAAGCTGGGGGGAAAGGGACTGGGGCTACCCTGCTTACCCCTAAGCCTGAACCTGAGGAATTGGCTCTGTCTCGGGGTGGGGCAGGCCCTCCCACGGAGGAGTCGTCTTCCTCTTCAGAAGAAGAGGAACCCCCTAGTTCCCCTGAGCCCCCCCGACCAGCTAAGAGGTCCCGACGTGAACCGCGGGGGAACAGGGGCAGCAGGGGACGGGGTGGGGGGCTTGGGGGCTGGACCTGCGGCCTCTGCCACTCCTGGTTTCCTGAACAAGATGAGTATGTGGCCCACATGAAGAAGGAACATGGCAAGGTGAGGGGGCGGCAGCAGCTGGGAGGCCTGGGGTAGAAGAGGTGGTGGTGGGGAAGATGAATTGGGGTGGGGTGGCCCCAGGGTGCTAATGAAAAGATGGATGGCATGATCCCTGGAACTCCATGCTGGGCTCTCTCACCCTGACTGTCCCTCTCCTTCCACCTCTCTCCAGTCAGTGAAAAAGTTTCCATGCAGACTTTGTGAGCGCTCCTTTTGCTCTGCCCCCAGCCTGAGGCGCCATGTCAGGGTCAACCATGAGGGCATCAAGCGTGTCTATCCCTGCAGGTAACTGCCTCGTTGTCCAGCAGTTAGCTCCCTGTGCTTCCCTTTTCCACTCGCGGGAGATCCCACGTGGGTCCCCTCGCTCTGTCCACCCAGGTACTGCACAGAGGGAAAACGCACTTTCAGTAGCCGGCTGATCTTGGAGAAGCACATCCAAGTCCGACACAGGTTGCGGCTGGGCGCCCAGTCCCCGAGTCTGGCGGCTGGGCTTGCACGGGGTGGTCCCCAGGTACTGAGGGGTTAGTCAGAGGGTGGGCTGCCCCCCAGGTCCTGGGAGATGTGATCCAACATGTAAGGTTGAGGATGGAGATGGGGTAGGTGGACAGATGAGGGAAGGGCACTCAGAAATGGACTGCAGCTAGCTTGAAGAGGTGTGCGGTCACTCTTCCCACTGACCTGTTTCCCTGGCTCCTCCAGGGTTCTGGGCGTAAGCGTCGCCCGTCCTCAGACTCGTGCAGCGAGGAGCCAGACAGCACCACGCCGCCAGCCAAGCCCCTCCGAGCAGGACCTGGGGCCAGCAGCCGGATGCCCTTGCGCTACCGGACCGTGACTGGGGCTGAACAGGGTCATACGGGAGGCATTCGGGGTGACGACGGGGCCTCCCAGTGTCGGGACTGTGGCCTCTGCTTTGCATCGCCCGGCTCCCTCAGCAGACATCGATTCATCAGCCACAAGAAAAGACGATGTGGAGGGGTTACTGGTGGGGGAGTTGGGGCTGTGGAGGAGGTGCCTCCCCAGTCAGGGCCTGAGCCTGAAGCAGGTGACTCACCCCTGCCTGCTTCTGGGGGTCCTCTGGCCTGTAAAGTCTGTGGCAAAGGCTTTGACAGCCCACTCAACCTCAAGACACATTTTCGAACCCATGGCATGGCTTTCATCCGTGCTCGGCAGGGAGGCAATGGAGACAGCTAGGTCACAGCCCCCTGCAGGAAGCAGAGGGGGCCCTGGAGCTTTTAAGGGGCGCTTTGGATGGAGCCTGGGGCTGCCCTGCTTGCTGTCTCCTTTATGCCCAGGCGAGAAGGGAATCCCATGCCCCCCCCTTTCATGAAGGACTCTAGTCATTCCTATCTCCCTTGTCCCATATTGGGTTTGGCACCTGGGTCCTAGATAGGACCTTTTCTTTTCCCATTTCCCAGCCCAACACTAATCAGCACCCCCTCAGGCCTTTAGTGTGTAGTTGGGGAGTGGGGGTTAGAAACCGGTCTCTGTTTTGGTTTTGGAGGTGTAACTGGTATACCAAGGCCCGGGGATGGATGATGACACTTACAGATACTCCCAACCGTTCTTGGTCCTCCCAATCTTAGGCACCAGGAGAGGTGACCCTCCCCCCTCCTCTGGGCCTGCCCCCCACCTCCCCCAGCTCCAGGCCCAGTTCCTACAGTGCCTTTCACTTCTCTTTTTTCAGAAACTCCACAGGAGGCTGGTGGGGACCAGGGAGGGAAGAAGGGGTAGGTACTCAGGAATCCTTTATTCTTGTAGTAATAAGAATAATTAATAATATTAACAATGAGAGGGGAGGGGAGCACTCAGCCCATTAAAACTGCTAGTGATTTAATCCTGATTCCGGCATCTGCTTTATGCGCCTTGGGCTTGGCAGGGACAGGACGGGCTTTTTGGGGGCCTTCAACCCAGTGTTGTCTTGGATGCCACAGTTGCTTTTTGTACTCCAGCCAAGTTCAGTGAGGACACAGGTGGCTAACTAAGGACTTTATTTCAAACCAAAAAAAAAAAAAAATAATAAAATAAAAAATTGAGAGCATTTTCCCTAGGCCAGAGGGAGTGGGGTCAGAATGGATACAGGTATCCCCACCCCCCTGGGCTTGGGGCAGAACTGGGACTGGACCTACATGACATGGAAGGAGGCCTGACTGCCTTCCCCTGCTTCCATGATGGGGCCACTGGAAGTGGAGGGGCCAGAACCAGATCCCCCTTCAGTAGGGGGAGCACCAGGTGCGTGCTGTGACCCCTCCTCACCAGGGACAGGGTGGAGTTGGGAGAGAGGCCAGTGGGGCAATGGTATGGCTAGTCCCCAAGTATCAAAAATCTCCTTTTCCCTCTCCCTGTGGCCCAGAACAGATTGGGGGAGGGCAAAGAAAACCACAGACCCCAGAAAGGTCCCCTCTCCCCCAAACTCATCATGTCCATGGGGGCAGTGACTCCCGGAGCCTGTCAGGTGGTAATACTGTCAAAGAAAGGGGGTTCCTCTCCACACACTCCTCTTGCCCCAGGGGCAAGCTCTCTCCTCGGTTACCACGTGATCCTGGCTAGTGCTCTCACCATTCGTCTCCCTTGGGTGGACACTGACCCTCCCAGGGAGTCTCCCGTCGTCCCTCCCACTGCTCCCTGGGGCTGGCGGCAGGGTGTCACATGATGCCGTTGGTGAGGTACTGGAAGCCATCGTAGAGCTTGGTGGTGATGGAGCGCATGCTGCCGTCCACCATCTGCTCCACTAGCAGCTGCAGCTGCTCCTCGGTCATGCTCATGTGGAAGCGCTCCTTCAGGTTGCGGATGGTGCTGGAGCCGTGGAAGCAGGGCAGCTGGGAGCCTGGGGAGGGAAGGGGGGGGTGTCATCACACCCGTAACACCTACAGGCACAGCGGCTCCTGAGCCGTCAGCACCCCCTCCCCAATTCTGTTCGGTTGTCAGCCCTAACACAGCCCTGACGTGGTTCCAGTGCAGTTCTGCTGGGCAGAGGGGGAGAAGGGAAGAGCTGGGGAAGACCTGCCCCAGGCATCCTCACTCTGCGCAGGGGTGGGGCCGGGGTGGGGGATGGGAGAGGGAGAGACAGAGAAGGGTCCTGGGGCTGTAACAGGAGCCAGGCAAGGAATGCTGGGGCACAAGCACTGATCTGGGCACTTATCTGGCTGCAGTCTCTGCCTATGCTACGTGACACTCACAGATGACCTGGGCCACCGTCATTACGGGGCTGGGCGGGGATTCTCCTGAGCAACGTCGGCAACCTGTGGGGTGGGGCCAGGGGTGGCCCAATTGAATATTGATAGGGAAGATGTGAGCAAATGGGGGGAAGGACTTGGAAAGGCAGGTTCAGGCAGAGAATGAAAGCCCAGGTTAAAGATGGGAAAGAGGAAAAGAGTGAAGGGGGAAGGCCTAACTCAGCCAGGGTGCCTGGTGAGTGGGACTGGGGAAGGTGAAATAAAATGGGATGGCTGACTTTCAAGGAAGGTGGGGCAGAGACTATGACTGGGGGAGAAGCAGTGGGCTGCCAAGCACGAGGAATGAAAGGCTCCAGGAAGAGGGGGAGCCTGGGAGACCCAGGGCTGCCCAAGGGTGGGGAGAAGGGTGGAAGTGGTAATGGCTGGTGGGGGTAATTCAGGCTCCAGCACACAGCAGGGCAGGGCCCACCCTGCTCCAGTCCCTTGGCCCAAGGGCCCCGACCTTGCTGCATGATCTCCACGATCTGCACCACCTTGTCCATGTGTTTTCGGGCAGCGATGAGCCCCTGCAGCATCAGCATCTTGTAGTAGTTAAACATGTCACCGTCCAACCCTCCCATCACCTGGAGAATGGAAGGTAAGTGGGAAGGGCAGCTCTGACCTTCCTCAGTCACTCTCCATGTATCCTCCCCTCCCCAGGCCAGAGCCCTCAGCCTCACTTCTGGTGAGGACCCTCCAGCCCCCTTGTTAGCATGGCTACCTCATGCCACTTTACAGAACAGCCAAGTTCACCCTCCCCTGGCAGGGAGCTTGATGGAGACGGCTTTATCACTCACATCCACAAACTCTGTGGTCAACTTAAACGCGGAAGTCTCAAAGCCCAGGTTTCGAGGGGAGCTGGACAGGATGAAGCCAAAGTCAATGTGGATGATGTGCCCGTCGGCATCTAGAAGGATATTCCCGTTGTGCCTGATGAGGGGATAAAGATGGGCCGTTAGGCGAATGGTCAGTATGGCCTCCACCCCCAAGATTACAATGTGTTGGTCAAAAAGTGTTCTGCAGAGCCAACTCCTAGCTGTCTTCATCTGTCTGCCGGGCTCTCAGACAACCAGCAGAGACCGTTCAACGGGAACAAAACTGCCAGCAGAGGCTGCAGCATCCAAAATTGCTATTAATAAGAATGAGAAAACTCAACTAACACCTCCCTTATTTAGCAATAACCATCTGGAACATAGCCGATAAGTCAGAACAGTCTGAACCTCAAAGTTAACTGACACAAAGACCACAGGGAGGTCAGTCAAAGTCTCTGTGAACAATTTTTTGCTTAATCCATACTTTTTTTTTGGCGAGGCAATCAGGGTCACACAGCTAGTGAGTATCATGTGTCTGAGGTCAGATTTGAACTCAGGTTCTCCTGACTCCTGGGCTGGTGCTCTATCTGCTGCCCCTAATCCATACTTTCTAATGAATTTCCTGGTTGGGTTTACCAGTCCATAGCAAATAAACAGTAGCAAACTGGGTGAGGGGCTACCAGAAGCAGGAACATTGAGAACAGAGAGAAGTGTTTACATTCAGTTTTTAAAAAATAATGAAACAAACTGCAAAGAGAAAATGAATTAATGTGGAATACCTTACACCTAGAAGTCACATTACTCAGTGGGGTGGGGGTGGGGGGAGGTGGCAGCGGCTGCAGCATGAATTAGAGAGAAATTCCAGGTCTTAATGACTTCCAAATGAATGGCCTGCAAAGGAGCCAAAGCCTCCTGAAGGTGGGGCGCCCAGGACCTATTCAGCATAACACTGCCTAGCCAAGGCGGCCAAGGCAGGATCTTTGTTAAGTAAAGTGCTCTTATTCAAGAAGGCTGGGGGGTGGGGGGTGCCAGCCAGAGGAGAAACTGTTCTCCTTTCTCTCTCTTCCAACCAATCACCAGAGCACTACAGGAAGCAGAGCTAGAATTAGGAAAAGATGTGAGTTTTGTGCGGAGAATCTCATTCTGATTTAGTTCCATGCACATTAAACCATTACAGGTTGGTACCTTGATAATACTTTTCTGTTTTACAGCTTTTATTATATCTATCTATCTATCTATCTATTATATAGCTTATAATACAGCTTTTCTGTTCTTTCCTATGTCTGGTTCTATAAATTGACTCCAACTCACCTCTTCTACCATAGATCATTTTTTAAAAAAAAGGTTCAACAGACTATTGGCTGCTGTTAAGATTGTCTTATTCAATAATGGAACCTCCCTCATTCTCGGAACCAGAAGGGCAGACAGCCACCCCTTTGCAGCCGTCACGTTTGCCTGGACTTATTGTGGTTGTGCTTCAGGAAATTGGATTCAAAATCCTATCCTTGGTCTTAAAAAAGGATTTCTAGCAAAAACAGTCCCCCCTACACACACACCCCCCCACCCCCCAATGCTGTTTGCACGGCTTTGCTGCTTTGAAAATTAAGTTTTTGTGGAGCGCACCTCTCCACTTCAGCGTCTTCCAGAGATCTGGGAAGCCAGGCTCTGTTTTCTTTTCCCAAACCACCGACAAACAGTTTCAGACTCTATGTTAAGACAAGGGTCCTACTTACTCAACACCGAGCACAACCATCAAGAATGCAGATGCATCTTGGATGTGGGATCACAAGCACAGATGGGGTGATGTCCAGGTCAGGGCTGGGGGACATATGTATATGCGAGGGGCCGGGGCTGGGGCCTGGAGGCCAGGCAAGATGAGGACCTGGGGAGTCAGTCACCCACCTGTCTTTGACCTGAAGCAGGTAGCAGACAAGACAATAGCCAGCACAGCTTTGTACAAAATTGCGCTGGGCGCTGAGGAATGCCTCGGTGGTATAGCTGCCATGCTCCTGCAAGAAGTAATCGAGCAGGGAGAGCTGTGACTGCTTCTTCACCTGATGGATGGACACAGCATTGACCACAGGCTCTATCATGCCGCTGTCCGCAGAAATCACAAGAATCTTGTAGGGCTTGATCCAAAGAGGCACCCGTTCTTGCTCCCAAATGGACTGAGGGGAGAGACAAGGACACAGGAAGATTACCCTCATCTCCCTAGTTGGAAAGAGATGGTAACTGGGCCAGAGGGAGAAGAGACCTGCATCCCTCCTTAGCCTTTTCTCTGCCCATTGCCCTAACCAAGGTTGTCTTGGAACATTATAAACAAAATCTAAAGATCTTGCTGGGTACTAAAATGCATGGTAGGGAGGTCTAGGAAAAAGAATGGGAGAAGGATGTAAACACTAATACAGCAGCATACTGGGAAGGAGAGACACAGGAATGGAGAAAGATGTTGCTCAGGTACAAAGGCAGGGAGTCCTATATGAAGAGTGAGGACCCCCCAAAGCTCTTGGTGTAGAAGCGAGTAATGGCAGTAACGTCTTTTTTTTTTTTTTTTTAGGCAGTTGGGGTTAAGTGACTTGCCCAGGGTCACACAGCTAGTAAGTGGCAGTATAATGTAATTTTAAGGAATGAGAAAGAAGAGAGTATGGCAAGGTCTTAAACCCCAGCCAGTTACAACTCATCTTCCCTTTCAACCAGGAGCCAAAAGACCACACAGATGCAGTGCCATAAGTAACCAGGAGAGGTCCCCATAGTCCCCTTCAAGTGCAACTACCCTCAGTGGAGCAGCCTGGCCCAGATTCATCCCAAAG